CCTTCTGTAACATTTGGAACCCAGCCATACTGTCTTTGTTTACTGTAAAGAGCATGGAAAAACTGGCTTCCTGACAGTGCTCTGCAAAGTCTAAGGTCAAACCACTCACAGGTGAACAAACACAGTCCTTCCACCTTAAAGTTGCCATTTGGCCCCTGTAAAATGGACCAGGGCAATAATACTGGGTAACAGAAAGAGGTGAAATCAGTGCCTGCTGGCAGCCAGCAATTAGTCACTTTGTCAGTCTGCTTTGTGAAGAGCTAATCTTAATTCAGTCTCCATTTGCAGAAGTTAGAAAACAAGGCGTGTGATTTTAAGCCTTCTAGCAACCAACTAAATAAACCTATAGACTCAGCCTTTCACTCTTCAATCATCCCATCATTAACATTTCCCAGGTTTGCAGGTAAAGCATAGCATTCTTACTTAAGGAGCTTTAGTATGACCCTCATTGAATATTCATATTCTCCAAGCTATTTTGTTTTTCATAGTAAGATCTCAGTGTGACCCAGATGGTTAGGCATTGATTCAAGATAGCTTATTCATATTTTTGCTAACCTCTGGGAGTCTTGACTGTCATCAAAGGCAGTGGTCCCCTTATGCCAAAGGCAGGGGAGTGTCCTCCAGGGTGAGGATGATGTAAGCACATTGGGAACCCAGACAGTGCCTCATTCATTTAGCAGCCCTTCCATAATGTCACCCTGCCTGATATTGGCACATCCACATAACACCTGTGTGAATGTTACTGACGAAACCATAACCTTGTTCTCAGTGTTAAGCCATTTCCTGCAAATCAGTTATTGGCATGAACCAAGTTCTTGTTTTAATATTTAAATATGATTAAAATTGAACTAAAGGGCTTCCCTGGTGGTGCAGGGGTTAAAGACACAGCACTATAAAGCTATCCCCAGCCACTGCAACATGAGTTCAGTCCCCGCCAGGGAGCTGACCCTCATGGCGCAACAGACCTCTCCTGTCTCTCTCTCTCTCTCTCTCTCCCACTCCCTGCTCCCCTCAGCAGATTTCAGTAAATCTTCCTGTTCTACTCCCCACTCTGTCTCTGATGAATCTTCTCACCCCCACACCTCTGGCCTACACCCCAATTCTTGTATGCAAAAATAAATCTTTTAAAAAGATTTAAAGTGGCACAGATGAAAATATTACCAACATAAGGGCATGTTTTTCCCCCCTTTCCTTCAAGAATAATTTTGGTTTTGGCTACATTTTTAAATTTTTCATTGTTTTTGGTCTCTAGTTTAAGTAGGCTCTTGAAATGCCCTCATTATCTAACATTGCTCTTGAACTCCACTTAGAGATGATATACTGGCCTTTTACTAAAATATATCTGGGTATTAAAAGCCTAATTCTTTACTGCTGATGAGAAAGATTATTAACACTTTTTTCCAGCTCTAATATAAGGCAATAACACCCCCTTTTACTTCCAGAGCCAGAGGCAGTATGTCATATTAACCTTCATTAACTGCCTAAGAAATGAGGTACGTTCGTTAATTTAGTATTCTGGTTAGCTAAGATTGAGTGAGAAGGTTGATAAACTTCGGTGGTTTCTCCATTAGCTACATGCAGAAAAATAAGAGAATGGTCAAGTTTGCTGGCACATTCATTTCATTACCTTGGCAAACGCAGCATCTGCATGAGGGGCCAGGTGTCCATAAGATGGGTGTGCACCTGGAAGGCAAGTACTGAAGTGGCAGGACTCAAACTGCACAAGTACAGTGCTATCAAACCGACCTGAGGAGTAACCTGGCAGGTGTATGGTGGGAGGAAGTTGGTATCCTGGAAAAAACTGGGTCACAGGCAGACTGGGAATATGAACTGTGTGTCTGTATAATTGCATGATGGGCCTTTTCCCTTTGATGACCTCTACAGTAAGAAACTCAAGGTAGAGTCTTTTTCTTCAATGTAGTGTTCGTTTTCATTTTTCCATTTCTAGCCCAACTGTCATTTACTCATTTTTCATTTTTTAAAAAACATCTCAAGCTTCGTACTAATTACAGAGGAAATAGATTCTCACACTCTGCTTGATCCACACACTCTTTGCTTGCTTTATAAGACATGAAAAAACATGGTGTCAGCTTAGCAGCTCCTTCCCCACTCCCCAGAATTCTTGTGTGGCTTCTTTCTTCACAAAGTCTCAGAGCCCATCCCAGGTTTTTCTTCTGCCAGTACCAGAGTTCAAGCACACTCTACTTGGGTTGACTTTGCAGGGGTCTCTTGATGCTCTCTTAGTATCCAGTTTCCTTCCTCTCCAAATCAACCTTAGTCATGGCTGCCACACCTTCATTTTACAGTTTGGTGGTTCCTGTGGCTCACAATGAGGGTAACTATCTATGGTTCTCCTCAGTCTAGTCCCCTGTCTATGGAACTAACTTCCTTCTTGACCCTGATTGATTTCTTGTGCACCTTCACTAAAGAGGGATTTCCTCCTACATTGTTGCTATACCTGAGTCAGTATAGCCTGGTGGTTAATATGCTTGGGAACTGGAAGTGTCCTTCCTCTGACTTGCTGCGTAGGTTTCGGCAAGTTATTCAACCTCTCATTTGTGTTTCTATTCTGTATCATTAAAAATAAATTTGCAAAGCAACGTTCCCATCATAAGATAGTTAAATCAAGCGAGTTCATGTATGTGAAGTGCATAGAACAAACTCCAGCATGTAATAAGTGCTAGTTTTTTGTTATTACCCTTCCTGTTATTGTAATGACCCAAACCCCACCCCCTACAAATCCCAGAATCCTCTGGGGATCTGTCCCCATTGTAGGTAGAAGTAATCTTTTCCTTCCCAGTCCTTCTTTGACACTACTTATCTGACACTCATTAACCAGACAGGCTTAATATTTATGGTACTTTATTTATGAAACTTGAAGAGATAACTAGCAAAGCCAGATTGTGACAGCATGAAAAAAAAAGGTAGCATAGATTCTACAGAATATGCATCCTCTGGGACCTGGGACAGCATCTCATGTCTTTGTTTCTCTTACACTGTATTATGCCTAATTATGACAAACGCTAAGCCACTATTTTATTTTTTAATTTATGGGGGTTGTATTCAAGAGGTCAGGAATGGACCAGTTTACTTACATAGATAATATACAACCAGATAATAAGATGTCTTGATTGGTAGCATCTATAAAAAAGGTAGCATCTGTAAAAGAATAGGAACCATTGGTAGCATCTGTAAAAGAATAGGAACCATTCTAGGTTTTGGATAGAGGTTGTTTTGGGGGCCATGGACCTGTAGTTAGGAATGATTAGTTTGATGAAAGGTTGCCGACTTAAGGGAGGAAGCTAAGAAGACTGTTGAGTATAAAGCCATGAGTACCTGTGCGGGAGGTCTGGAAATGGCAGTTAGAGAGGAAATTTTCAGATTCAGGAATGGTGCATAGAGAAAAAACCCTCAAGTCTTGGGGATTCGTAGAGGCTGATGCTGAGCAAAGCATGAAAAGTCACTTCTGGGTTTCTTTGGATAATTCTGGACATCCAACTTCAGTGAAGTTCATCTCCAGAGGAAAAAGGCTGTGAGCAGTTACCACGAGGGCAGAAACCATGCCCATGTGGCTCACCACTTGGCCCCCAGTGTCTAGAACAGTCTCTGACACACAAGCCAAATCGGAGGCAGATAAGTGATTTGAGTGCATCCCTGGTTACTCTCCTTGATCTCTGCAGAGTGGAAGAAAGCAAATGGTGGACAGTGCCCGTTCAGTGATTTCCTGGTTCTGGTTAGCTGGCATGATGAAGTTTTATGAACGATTTCCCTCACATCATGGGCAGGATGTTCCAAATCAGCAACTTACTTAATTCCAGGGTGAATGACAGAATCTGCAAGACCCGGAGGCTCTCTCTCTCTGCTACATGCCTTAATGCAACTCGTTAAATGTACCTGGCAGTGCAACCCCTCTGCAGAGAGGTGCTCCAGAAAGCAATTGTTTACTCTTGCCCTGCTGAGAAGGAGCGATATCCGTGTGGCTTAAGGGCTCTAGCTGCAGCAATGAACAGTATTAGGAAAATATCACCATCATTTGCCAGCGTGCAAAGCCAAACTGCAAATAAGAGGCATGTCAGTTCAATGAAGCAGAAACATTACACTTGTTTTTAATGATTACTTGTGGGAGAACTTTATTTTTATATGTTTGTACGCCTTTAAATAAGAGATTGCATTTTTTTTTTTAAATGATGAAACTGTCTCCCCTCTTCTCCTTACAAAGGGACAAGCTTTTCCCACTTGGGTGAATATTGCCTGCTTTGCTCTGGGAAGAAAGAGCGGTCTTGGCAAGCATCTTATTAGCTTAAAAATAAATTATTCAGAGTGCAGGTTCAGATACAGATTGCAGGGAGAGATAATAGAATTGGTTTTCCAAGCCTGATCATGCTATGAAGACATGGTGTGTGCTTTTCAGGAATCCACTTAAGTGGAATCAGCTTTGACTAATACAAACTAGAAATAATATTGCTGCCATCCAGCTAGTGTCTGCGGTACAGCATCCTCGAAATGTCCTCAAGTATCCTTGGTTTCTTTCGTCTGTGTAAAGTGTGCATATGTAAAAGTAGATCTGTGCTCAGAGCATGTCTTCAGAGAGGCAGTCTTATTGTTCGTTTAAGGAAATTTCTTGCACAAGGCAGAGGCAGGTATCACTTGAGATCCGGCTCCCTCCGATCCCCCCTGCCTCAGCAAAATAGTTGACCACATCAGCAGCCGATTCCAGTTGTCATGTGATTGCTCATGTGATGCTCGGTCTGCAGCACTTTGGAGCAAGAGCCTTTGTGACTCGGCACTCATGGACAGTCGCGTTCGGGGACTGGGGAGATTTTGGAGGGGGTGGGGAGGCCGATAACCCAAGAAACATCAGAAATAAAAGTCGCACGAAGTACTCTGATCTATGTATGCCTATTTTTGGGAAATTTGATTTTAACTCTTGCTTTTTTCATGGTTTGTGTCTGTTTTTATCCAACCCCGCAGGCGCCAAGCCGCACTGTTTTGTGTTTCTATTTTTTTTTTTTTTTTTTATTCTGAAGCCAGATCGTCTTTCCTCACAGCTCCAGGGCTGCATTGCTGTGGGCACGCCAAGCTTCCCCGGGTTACCTGTGCTGCTCCTGCTGTCTACCCGCCTCGGCTTCGCCACGGTGCACCCGAATCCGGACTGGTTCGTCTGCGCACTGCGGAAGAACGACCAGCTCATGGAGACCTGGCCGGGGCCACCTCGCAGCTGGATGAGGGCACTTGGAGGACAGGACGGAGCTGCAGAAGATCCGGGGTGGGACGATAGAAAGGACGCGAAGGACCGGGGAAGGGGAAGTTAGGAATACCTATGTCCAGTGCCCACCAGTCCACCAGCAAGGCACCCAACTTGGGCTCTTCCGGGGCACTAGTCTGGGGGGAGATCCTTGCTGGGATGTGGTGGCACGTTACCTGAGAATGGAGCTGAAGATGGATAAACCAGGTATCTGATGTATCTGTCTGAAGAGGCAGAGCTGGAGGCAGAGTGAGGGAGCGCGTGAAAAGAAAGAGGAGCGAGGAGAGATGCTGGATGCCGTTGGTCCGCCGCTTGCTCTACATTCTCATTCTAGGGAGGATGGCATAATTTATAACCCAGTACATGGATGGAGGAACTGTAAATTGTAGTCTGGATGTCCCCGGTGCTGTCAAGGAAGAAACTGATGGGCTAGGTGACTGTACCAGAGTCCCCAGAGGAAAGAGCAGCCCTGCAGCATGGATTTAAATGCATGTGCATGCATGTAGAGACATGAAAAAAAAAAAGATTTCTGACCATTTTGCACAGGAAGTCTGTCACTTTGCTGGATCGGGCTTGATTGCAGCTTGTATTTTCAGCTTCAGCTCAACACCCATTTCCTGACTAGCTAGAGAACGCGGGCAGTGCAGCTGCATACAGAATTTTCTCGTTAATGTGAAAGCAAGCCCCCTCAGCTTTAACTCCTTGAAGTTCTGAGTGCTGTGTTCTCTGCTAGAACTGATTGTGGGGCTTTGTTGTCTTCTTCTTCTACAAATCCCTGTAAACACAGCTGTATTCAGTATGGTGAAAAATTCTATCCTGTAAATAGAAATCTGATCAATTTAATCAAAATAAATGTATCCCAGATGACTTTGAGACCAGCTGGCTACCACAGGCTTCAGATGTTAAATGTTCAGAGGAGACAAATGCAGTGTTACATGTTTAAGAATCTAGGATCAGCCTATAATTAAAAAAGAAGAAATCCTTTGCTAAGGTGGGGGCCACGGTCCTACCAGCTCACAGCTAGATGGTTACCTGCAGGTGTGGATGCCATTCGTGGGTTTCAGAGATTGGGGTGTGGCATTCGTAGGGCTCGAGACATGCGGATGACTGTGGCTCGCCACTGTCAGGATGGAGAAAGCAGGCTAATCTAACTTGCCTTGTGGAGAGGCGAGTGCCTAGGGAACAGGCGCTGGGGAGGTGGTGGGCGGCTCTGGAGGACGCTGGCTCTGGCTTCAGATGCACGAGCTCAGAACTGCAGCTCGGCTCAGTAATGTCCGCTCTAAGTTGGCCAGGAGAGTCTCCTAGTTGTCATGGGGAGCTCTTCTGGGTCGCCTGTCTGGCCCTTCCACTGTTTGTTACTAATTCTACAAAGGCAGCTCTGTGTGCTGGATTATGTTTGGCCAGCTGTTGATGCATTCCTGCGGGCGGGGCTGGGTGGGGATCTTATTACTGTACTTTCAAACTGTAGATCTGTGTGCACAGAGTAAAGGGAGGGAATGGAAAGAAAGCAAATTGGAGAGGATCCGATCGCTGTTACTGCTTTCTCCAGAGAGTCCTAGAATGAATCCCGAAAGGCTAAAAATGGAAAGAAAGGAAGAGGGGGTAATTGGGAGAAGAGGAGGAGAATCTAACTGAGCAAGCATATGGGACAGAAAAACAGACTTAGAACTTCAAAGCTGCATAGGCAAGCAGAATGTCAGCAGCTTGTAATTAGCGGTTCATGGTTGCGTCAGTGACTATCTCTCTCCAAGAATAACTATGTGATGTGTGCCCCAGAGTGAAGAAGATAGTCATAACTAAGTTATCAAACCCAGTTCAAACAAGGGCACACGGATTAAGGAATTTTCTATGTTTGTAAATCAAATACTGATGGATTACATATAGAAGACTTGCTGAATTCTACATCACTAACACTGAATTAGGAAGTTGTGGGGGGGGGTATAGTTGGGAAATAAATCTGTGGACCCATAAAAATGCAGATTCACTGTGCAAGAGCCAATCAGAACAAGCTGTCTCGAAACAAAAATTATCCCTCAATGCCTACCGCTGCCTGGCTAGTCTCCTACTGAAGCAACCTCACATCATTTCTGCTTGCTTGTTTTCTGCATGAAAATAGAGTGAATTCAAGAGCTACCTTCAAAAGTAGAGCCACTTGAAATTCTAAAATTTCCAGTGAAAAGTTCAGAAATGATTGCGGGGCACTGATGTTTGTGGCCAGCCTCACCGAAGCCTTGAAGGAGCCTCGGTTTTCTTAAAGCCAATCGCAGCTTGCCAGTCATCACAGGCAAAGGCGGGACTCCATGGTGTGGTTGAGATTTGAAGGCCTGGAGCCCATTCCTGCTTCTTCCCGTGGGCTCAGAGATTTTGGTTATTACTACAACCCCCACGAAGCCATGGTGGGAGGAGCTGATTGGTTGGTCGGCTTAGAGTGTTTACTCTTATTTGTTTTCAGCGCTCCGCCACAACATTCATGTGGTATTTGTATTTGTGTTCACGCTGCACAATTACTCCTGACCCGCTTTGTTTCTCTCCCCAAAGAGAAGTCAATTTTCGTTCAGCTCTGTGCATTTGGCTTTCTGGGTAATAGGTACCTATGTCTTGCCTTCCCGTGTATGCATTTCCCTTTTTAATGTGGATTAGGGAAAATTGTAGGCAGAGAAAGCTGTGTGTATTAAATCAATAGCTTTTTGAATCACATGTAATATCATTTAAATATACTTACTCCGAGCTTGCCAAAGCTGACATTGTCTGAGCCCGTTGAAATTTACATCTTCGATTTAGTCAAGAAGCAGAACCTGCCAGATCAGAAGAGAGTATTCTGTGCACCCAACAGGGTGGAAGACATTATTTTGTTTGTGTTAGTTCAAACAGCTGGTCATTAATGCAGTCCCCATTTTGGGAGTGAAGTGCGGGTGGACATGAATGGCTGCCTGATTAATGCTGCCCCTCCGAGGGTCCTTCACCCAGCAGTGATGCTCGGCACAGAATAATGTAGCGTGATGTGATTGCGCTCTAACAGCGTAGTATGTCATTGTGTCACCAAGCAATTGAGGTTATTATGGGGCAGGCCAGACAGACGGGACACTGGGGTTACTAGACCGTAGCATTTTTAGAAATACAGGCCTGACCTACTTAGAGTTATTCTCCTTGGCTGGCAGCTGCATGGTACATAAAGTCTCCTGATAGGCTGAGGCTGTTGCTAGGGGGAATTAGCATGAATTTTTCCACACACACACACACACACACACACACACTCACACTCAGTGACTGAATGATAAAAGCGGACTGGAATTAAAGAGATTTGGTTTAGTATTATACAGATTTATCTGCCTCGTTTTTCTTTCTCAAGTGCAGAGCAAGGGTGCAAAATACAGATTTTGTTTCCATTTGTTCTTTGACCTTCTTGTTTTGCAGCCCTCACTCCCCCCTGCTCTCCCCCTGCCCACCCCTGATCCAGGAGGGGAGGCCGAACAGGGCAGTTATGAAATTTTGGTTAATCTCTTACTGTTAGGGTCATTGAAACAACATTGCAAATTGTAAAATATTTAAGCTTAAAAACTGCTGGGAATGACTAACAGAAGGTTAGATTATTTTTCCTCTTCTGTGCACTAAGCTGTTTTGAAGTTGGGCATGCATCTTTCATGCACTGTATATTTAAACTCTCTTTCCCTTTTAGGCTTGAACAAAACATTTATATAAATTCTTTTCTATCCAAACAGATTGAAGCTTGCAATCTCTGACTTGTTTAAAATAAGATAGTCAGGATTCCAGATTTGGAGGGGGAAATATATATATATATATATATATATATATATAATATTATATTATATTATATACCATTTTTTATTACAAAATATTTTTTCCAGGCTATTTTGGGTTTGTCTCATTTTTCAAAAGCCGGCCTGATGTTTATGCTCATGGATGAAACTTCACTGCTCACACACACACACCCTCCCACCCCTTTGCTTTACAATAAACTGCAAAACAGAAGTTTTGTTTTTTTTTCCAGAAGGAAGAATATCTGCAGGATTTATCTGGAGGTTGTTTTATTCTTGTTGCTGACATGGGTATTGCATTAGAAAGCTCACATAATCAATTTTAGAAGGCAAGCCATTTTTTCCTCTTCCTTTGTATTCTCCCAGCAAATGTGCATTTGTGAATTTTAATAGATCTTTTCTAGAGGCAGATTTTTAATAGATCTTTAAAGTAATCTGAAAGTCCATCAGGAGAAAAGTAAAATCAATGGATTCTCAAGAATCCTTTGATTTTTCCTGTTCTTAATTATATGCTATCTGTGCTTACACTACAGATTTCCTTGGTTACCTTTTACTAAAGAAAGTAGTCATTATCCTGCCTTTTCTATTTGAAATTATTTTTTATAAGAACATGCTGTGATCACAAGGAAACAAGAAGCTGGCTACATAAGGGAGATGAATAAAATAGATCCTTATAAACTTGTAATATTGAATTTTTTGGCCATGTGTAAAAAGGCAAGAGAATTTAAAAAAAAATTGTCCTACTTAGATGTTTTTAAATATGAATTTCTACTAGCTCCAGAGAAAACAGCCAAAACAAAATATTCTAATAATATCAGTCATGAAATGCATCATTATTTTTTCTTTTCACCCACCAGTGTATACATTTCTGCATATAAATATAATTTATCAAACCAAAGTGTGTTTTTCTGATGTTTTTATTGTCATTGCATACTTTTACTTTCTTTGATGGTCTCCCAAATAATATTTATTGTAAAGATTCTCAATCATATTAACAGTCTTTCTTAAATGAGTAAAATGCCAGTTCATATTTGCTGAATGAATGTTTACCTTGATAGGTTGCTCTTTTCAAAATGCAGCAATTTCATCTGTTTTGGTCAATAAACATTTTAAATCTTCTTTGGTGCTGTCTTGGCTTAGGTCAACTCACAATCATTTAAATATTTAAGTTCAATGTAAGAGAAATAAAATGTCACTTTAAAATCACTTGAGGGGAAATGTTAGCATAATGCCATTAACATTCATCAAAGGACAGCTGCCTAATTTATATGTTAAATACAATCTTGTCTAGGTATCAAATCTAATCGAATGTTTATTGTTGATATTAAATTGATCGCACAAAAATTATCGAGTGGAAGTTTCATTTGGTTGGTTAGCTTGTTAAGCATTTTTCATTGTTGTGGTTTCAGCCATTCCGAGAGAGAGAGAGGTAAGTATGTATTTTATTGCACAAACAAGATGCAAGAATATCTTTGGCTGTAGCTATAATCAGCATTGGCTTTTAAGATACTCACTCTGTATGTTTCTGGTGTGAGTTTCATTCACTTATCATTGATCACAAAGTCAAAGGAACAGTGGTACTCAATCATTTCCCCAGTCATTTATTCATTAGGTAAGTATTTTCTGCTCACACATGAGACTGTTTTCTAATGATAAGAGATAATGAGATTTTGGGATGCTGTTGGAGACATAAAAGAGAAAATTGCAGTGAGTAAATGTGGAACACTAAATGTAGTCAGATCTTGGCTTCAGTAGCTTCTCTACAGTGTTCTGCCCAACCAACCCCCTCATGCTATGTAATCTTTTTTTTTTTTTTTAAAGATTGATTCATTTATATATGAAAGAATTAGGGTGTAGGCCAGAAGTACAGGGGGCAAGAGAACTCAGCAGAGACAAAGTGGGGAGCAGAACAGGCAGATCTACTGAAAGGCATTGCGGAGGGGAGTAGTGGACGAGACAGGAGAGGTCTCCTGTGCCATGTGGATCTGCTCCCTGACTGGCGATTGAAGTCATGTTGCAGCAGTTAGTGATAGCTTAATAGTGATGATACTTAACCTCTGTGCCTCCAAGGAGCCTTCTGTTATGTCATTATATAACGTGAGGAGGTGGTATTGATAGCACTAGGTGCCTGGAGAGATTAGCTGTCCTAAGATCATAGACATATTGTTCTGAACCATTTCAACACTTCTGTAACATTAAAAAACAACACATCAGAATGTACCTTATGTGCAGACATGAGAGAACATTGGAACCCAGAGATTTTTTTTTTTTATTTCATCATTCAAATGATTATTAGTATTTCAAAATCTTCAGGTGCCATACTGTACCCTCTCTGGAGCTGCTGAATCACTCTTTTTGCTTTGTTTTCTCCTCCTTTCTTTCAATCACCTGCTATTCTTTCAAGTTTGGGTCTTGTGTGAGTATGCCACAGTTTTCCAAGAAAAGTACTAAACAATCCAGATTTTTGCTTTTCGCTCCTTTGATAACATCGATAATAGACTGCATTTGAACCTTCGGATCCCTCAGGATGATGCATCCACTCTGTATTAAAGCAGTCATTATGTTGTCTGCTTTTAGACTTGTTCTATGAGCCTCTCACCTGATTTTCATCCGTGTGCCAGGTGTACAGAGGTTGCTTCCCAGACATGAGTTGGTTAATAGATGAATGAATGACTGAATCCATAGGTACTTAGAAGATAATTTCTAGAAAAACATAATGGACTCTTGTCAGTATACTTTCAATGGGTTAAAGCAGAATGGTAAACTTTTCTATGAAAGGACAGCCAATAAATATTTTAGGCTCTATTCAACTCAGTTAATGTAGTGAGAAAGCAGCCAAAGACAGTGTCATCAAAGGAGTGTGATTGTGTTTTAATAAAGTTTTATTTACAACAACAAGGAATGGGCAGGGTTTTGCCCTGTGGGTAATCATTTGCTGTCCCTGTTTTAATCACTAGCTATAATATTTTGAGGGCATGATTACATAGTAAATATTGAAGATGAATGTATTTGTAAATTATGTGTTTGTGTGTATGACACATTATTAATTTTGCACATTTTTTCATCTCAGTTTTAATCCTTGTGGACTTCCACCACCACTTCACTTATGTGCCATTACCATAGTCCAATGTGGTCTTCCCACTACAGTTTTGATCTAAGTCTCCTCTCTTCCCATAGAATGTCTCTGGTTTATAGTTATTAGTAGTTGTTCTTTTTTACTTTATTATAATTACTATATGTATGTGTATATATATATTTCCTTACACTCCTGCTATGAGTGAAACCATCTGGTATTTTTCTTTCTGGCTTATTTCACGAGGCATGATCTTTTCCACTTCCATCCATGTTGCCTCAAATGACATGAATCTATCTTTTTGATTGCTAACTAATATTCCAGTGTGTGTGTGTGTATCTATCTATGTGTATATATCTATATCTATCTATCTATATATCTATATATATATATATATCACATATTCTTGATTCTTGATCCAGTCATCTATTTTTGATCATTTGGGTTGATTCCACATCTCCACTATTGTAAATAGAGCAGAAGTAAACATAGGGGTGCAGGTGTCCTTCTGAATTACTGTTTTTGTGTCCTTTGGGTAGATACCTAGGAGTGGAATTGCTCAATCTTAGAGAAGCTCCATTTTTAGCAGTTTGAGAAACCTCCACACAACTTTGCATAGTGGTTGTACCAGGTTGCATTCCCACCAGGAGTGCAGGAGAGTTCCTTTTTCTCTACAACCTCGCCAACATTTATTGTTGCTAATATTTAATATGTGCCATTCTCATGGGTGAGATGGTATCTCATTGTGGTTTTGGAGATCAATGTATTTAAGAAGAGGGTTTTTTAAATTCAGTTAAGACAAAGGGGCATATAAATACTTAGGATGGGAATTCATTGCTAATGAACACATTTATTGCCTCCATGATCATGTAGATGAAACATTTTGTTTTAAGATTCAAAAATGAAGACAGGGATTGCTATTGTTTCTTAAAATAGAATGGTATTTTATTGTTCAGTAATAAGAGAAAAAATGGAAATTGTTTTCAAACAGTCTTGCTGGTTACCTAGGTGCAAGGAGGAAGCTCCACCTCTGTTGTTTGGAAGTGTTGGTACAACTTTCAAAATGTGTAAAATGGTCAATCTGGAAGCATTGCAAACTCATCATGCTGTTGTCTACAGATTCTTTTCATCAGTTTAAATACCATGCAATGTCACCACAATCATATCTTTCCTTAACATCTCCCCTGTTCCTTCTCTTCTAAATAGTAATCAACTTAGAGGATTGTAAGTTCTACATACACACTTGCTTTTCATCTTTTTTTTTTTTCCTTCCACAGGAAGTTTCATACTGTTCCTTTGTCTTCTGTTATATGACAGTCTATTATGGTCTTGGTAGATAGTTCTGGAAGTAGCAGTTACATGTACATCCTGGTCCAAAAGCTGGAGATTGAATACTCTGCTTGCCTCTGTTTAAGTTTTTCCTGAACTTAACCAGTCCTGTGACTTGCGACAGTATTGTTAACTTCCCTAAGCTAGAACTTTCTCATTAAAAAAAGGAAAATGATGGTATGTACGTCACAGAGACTTAGTGGACTTGCGACATTATCGTTAATTTCCCTAAGCTAGAACTTTCTCATTAAAAAAAAGGAAAATGATGATATGTACGTCACAGAGACTTAGTGAGGGTAAATGAAGTCATGAGCCTCTAACCTTTCCAGCCCTTGGTAAGTGCTCAATAAAATTTGCTGTATAAAGGCCTAATCCTGCTCTTGCTTTCAATAATGGGAGTTAATCTGCAGACAAAGACTGCAGTACAGAGGTAACGAGAAAGGGAGAGTAGCCAGGTGGGTGTAGGGAAATGGTCTCCAATGGAGGATTATTGGGGCTTTGGTGATGGGCTTGGTATGAAAACATACAGTTGTAAAGGTCTGTACCAATAACTCCTAAAACAAATAAATGATGTAAACCAACTTTACCTCAATAAACATA